GGGGTCTTTTTACCCTAACTGCCTAGCCAGTTCCTACTTCTTATTCTTATCACACCATCCTCTGAGGAGGTTACCCAAATTGCCAATAGGAAATCAGGATGTCTTTTTACCCTAACTGCCTAGCCAGTTCCTACTTCTTATTCTTATCACACCATCCTCTGAGGAGGTTACCCAAATTGCCAATAGGAAATCAGGATGCAGACCGTTCTGGCTTCTTCCATGCTGAACAGGGACACAAGGTGAGGCAATTGGAGTACCCCTTCAGTGGGTCTATCTAAAAGACTCCCAAACTGCATAACTCTTATCTCTAGGGGGAAAAGAAAGTCCTTGAATTGTAAATAGTAGAACCCTAACTGCCTAGCCAATTCCTACCTCCTATTCTTATCACACCGTCCTCTGAAGAGGTTACCCAAATTGCCAATAGGAAATCAGGACGCAGACCGTTCTGGCTTCTTCCATGCTGAACAGGGACACAAGGTGAGGCAATTGGAGTACCCCTTCAGTGGGTCTATCTAAAAGACTCCCAAACTGCATAACTCTTATCTCTAGGGGGAAAAGAAAGTCCTTGAATTGTAAATAGTAGATGTGAAGGAGAAGTAAAGGCAAGAGTAATTAGCATTACAAGTTCAAGGCAGGGAATTAGAAAAAAGTCAGAACAGGGCAATTTTCAAATGTTCATAGAAGAATCCATGGAATTTCTTGACAAGGGCTTCCAGAAGCATCCCTCTATTGGGTCGCTCCTCATTTTTCTTTTGTCTTCCAAAGCTGGACTCTAGAGTGATGGATTCAGGATTTGCTTTCAGGTATTTTGATAGCTGTTAAAATGTTTAGAGTCAGTGTCAGTTCCCTCTCAAAGGCTTCTAAATAGGGGGAGAAAACAAATTTATCCATCATTTTAGAACAATAGCTGGTTGTCTCCCTTAGCTACAGGTGGGTGCTATAGTATTGGAGACCAAGATTTGAGGTCTTACATCTGAGCAGCACTTTCTGGTTAGGAACAAATTCATCAATGAGAAATAATTTTCTAAATAACTTTTTATATAAACTTAAGCCTAGTGTCTCAGAAGTGTAATCCCTTGAACTCTTAAAGAAATATACTGATGACTTT